AGTGAAGATTTTAAAATCCTTTGAACTTACAAACGATGAAATGAAAAACTTTTTAGCATCTAATTAACAATAAATAATATAAATTATAAATTTGATTGGAATCATACCATAAATGACATAAATACTTGTATCCATTTCTTCTTATGGGTATGTTTTATACAAATGAATGATAATATAAATAGATAAATAAATAAATCATTAATTACAATATTTTATTGATTAATACCAAAGAGAGTAACCAAGTTGAGTTATGCGTATTTTCTTGGTCTTACAAAGACTGTCATTGATTTATATCTACAACACAAAACATACTAATATATTTATATATACCTGAATAATATACATTCTGTCTTACAATAATTTATACTTATTAAAATGAAAAGGGGGAAATTTGTAATTTAAGACAAATAGGTTCAATATGATGGAGAAGATTTGTAGCTCAGGTGGATGATTTTAATGAAGGTTTGGATCAAACCATCCAACTCAAACAACAAAACTCCATCAAAACAAATCTCTTCAGTTTATGTATCTAGTAAAAGGTTTATATAAGGATGATAATGCTAACATTAGACGAAATCGATTGTCCTATAATTTTATTGTAATTTCATTTATACTTCAGAAATATTAGTTCGTCGATAGAATGACGCTACATTTGAAATAGAATAATTAAATACTTTAAATGGTCGATAATTATCCTATATCGAAAATATACTGAAATATTAGTTCCTAATTTAAACGAAATAAAAGATAACCACATGAAATGTGGATGTTCTTCAACGTAGATAGGATTATATTGACTTCAATTTGTTATTATTAATTTTTATGTAACTTTGAATTATTAGTTATTTATACGTCACTGTTGAAGAAGGACATAAACTGATGTAACAATTGGGTAATTCAAGTAAATATTTAGATCGGTTATAGTCACGATATGAAAGGTTAATCAGTATGACAGCAATGAATAGAAAACAAACAGTAAGTTATAATGTGACAGTTAGTTCTATTTTACTTTTTAACTCTAAAATGGAGTCTTTTAAAGTATGGTATATTCATAGGTTACAAGTATCTAAACACAAATATCTTACAAGCATTGTTCATGAATGTTAGGATCACAGAATAATCAGTCTTCATATTAGACGTACAGCACTAGGCACAGATGGCAAATCAATTCATGAAGTACTGAGTCTTCATCAATTGAACTGATTGGCTGTTATAACGCTCGGTGTTACCTTGTCTGATGTTGTAACGCTTAAACGATTATCTACACTATATCCCTCCCAGTGTCTATTCTACAGGACTTCAACACAACTCAGCTCAAGAACACGTAATCAGCCTGACCAGAACGTAATATATTTTACACCCAAAACCGACACAATCCACAACAATGAACAATCAACAATAATAGGATGTATATTTGAGTGTGCCACAATAATAAGGATAAGGGAATATATAACTTATCTGACACCTGTTAGACTGTCTACATGTCTGACTAAGCAGACAACCAATCATGATCGTTCTCGCCCACACATCATTGGCACATTTATTACGTAGCATTAACAACCAACTACGTCGACACATTATGTCGGTTGCAGTGTGATGGAAAAAAAGATAAGGAGAACCAAATCAAGATATCCCATTACAACACGAAATCATTAACTATATTGAGACAATGAACCGATTGATGTTAGACCACCATTGAAAACTTGGAAGCACTGGACGGACATTTCGTCCTATTATGGGACTCCTCAGGTTACACATTAACATCAATGGGTTCCGGCTAAGTAGTCCAGTAGGTTAAGCGTTCGCGTGCGAGACTGAAAGCCCTGGGTTCAAATCCCGCGAGTGGGATCGTGGATGTGCACTGCTGAAGGACGAAACGGCCGTCCAATGCTTCCAGCTTTTCAATGGTGGTCTAGTATCAATCGGTTCATGATCTCCATCAAAAACTTAACAATCTCCACAACACCTAAACTGACATTAACTATTTATCTGAAACGCATTGATGTGTGTAGACTGTTCATTCGAGGTCATGAATGGTTGAAGACATTGTGTGATGCGGTTCAGATATGTGCATTCCTTGTTTTCTCTCATACCCTGAAATTCAGAACTACTCTTCTACTTTCCATCCTACGAGTAATTTCTTTCTTCGTCAGTCATATTCTCTATACATAATCCTTTTTACAACCACCGATGGTGATAATGTTTTGGCATTTATCTTGAGAGTTTCATTTATTTTGCTATTGTAGTGTGGAAACTTGGACCGATGCAGATATATTCTAGATTTTAAGTTGTCTATGGCTGACTGAATTTAATGATTGTGCTATAGCTTTTTCGTTATCCATCAATCCGTATCATCGTGCAGCCTAAAGGAAAGCCATAGAATAAACCTGTTGTCCAGTGAACTACAAAATGGATTGTTTGAACACTTTTTCTCTGTGCCCACAAATTTTGAACCACTGAGCGAGTAGATGTGCTTACATTCATTAAAAGTTATCTACGTGAAAGTGGATACTCATAGAAAATTATCGAGAAGTATGTCGAAAATAATCTGAATAAAGCTTCCTTTCTGCGCTTTAGCTCTCAAAAAGACGAAATTACTGAAATAATTAATCACGACGGAAATGAAGATTGCTTATTTAGAATCTGGGTTCATCACAAAACTAACTGCTCTGTAAGACAAACAAAATTCGACGGATCTCCTTTTGTCAGTAGCTGTGTATAGGCTAGTTTCCTCTATATCTGACTCCAATAAGTAGTATCCCGTTAACTGAGTATTTAATGCATGCTAAATCTCCTAGTAGAATTATGGATTTACTCAAGATTATTCACACGCCTGAACACCAGTTATAGAGTTAGTTTATTGTTAAAGATTGGTAAGATCCACAAGCGCACACGGAAACCAAGAGTGTGTGTGTGTGTGTTAAAAATCCATATATATTTATGAGTGTTAATCAAGTATAAATAAATTATTGATTGTCTGTGTATTACAACCAATGGGAGGATAGATTAAAAATTGACATGTACTCAACCAGACTCACAGAAAAAATTATATAGTGGATCAAGTGTCTAAATTACAGTGAGTAGATAAATAATACAGTAGTGGAATGGGCTTACTACACCTGTAACTGCATTTACTATTCAATATGTATTTGACGCAACACACAAGTGGAAGAACAACGATAGTGGTACATGTCCCATATAATTGATACTAAATATTTTAAAAGCTGTAAATAGTGCAATAGCTAGGAATCTAGGTCTTAGCGAGTTAATGTTGACATTTCCAATCCTTCCACACTGTCAACAGACAAAATGAAGCAGACACTCTTCGTTTAACTGAAGTGGTACAATAACATTTGAAAACCTAAATCGAATTATTTTTATCAGGAGGCACTTATCAAGTTATCATTTACATTTGTAAATTCACATAACTACTAAAAGCCACATATTATTATTTTTATTTAACTGTGTTTATTTTGTTATGTGATCTTTACCAAATCACCTGTCGTTTTGTCTACATCAAAATATGTTTTTCACCTGCTTCATTCCCAAAGTTTGTATCAACCATTCAAACATTCTATAATTACTGCGTAATTCATCTGATCAGTTTCCGGACACATTCACATTATGTCACAAATCTTATTTGATTTAATTCATGTAGCGAACTTTGATAATGCAAACATCAGTGTTCAGATTATTTTAAACATGTTGAAAAACAATGTCAACTAGTCAGTATAATTAGTCTACGAATATTCATATCAAACGATCGAATATATCATACTGATAAAGTTGGAGTTTATTCAGGAACGGCTTACATTTCACATTGTTGGCACTGATTGTACTGTAAACTGTAAATACAGATGTGATAAACTTGAACTCGACTTTTTAAAGAAGAGAAGACTTAAACTTAATCTAACGTTTTTGATCGAAATACTGTACTATATTGGGCGCACTTCCAGACAAATGAACCAGAAAGTTAATGAACACATCCCTTCGTGGTTAAGAAAAGGTACTGTAAAGACAATACGCAGCTCGGTCCTATCATACTTGATCGATAGCGACCATGCAGTAGACAGAAATAAGTCATTTAAAGTTATTTATCGTATTTCTACTAGTTTTCCTTATGGGGTTTAATCTCGTCTCTTACATATAGTAGAAGCTATTCGAGCCAACAATCGAAGTCTTTGTGTTCACAAGAAATTTGTAACACCTTTATCTCTCCTTTGACCTTAATAAATGATTTTATTTACTATTATTTTCCATACTCTTTCTTCCTGGATTGAACATCAACTCTGGGATACAGGTACATCCAGCTGACGAGTCCCAAGTAGGACGAAAGGCGCGTCCTGAATTCCACTGCTAGCCACTAACCATCTTTATTCTTTCTCCGTTTATTTTTCTTCACTCCCTCTCACCCTTTTACTTTTTTTTCTCAGATATACGTTTCACAGTCCAATTATCTGAACGCATCTTAGTGAGTAATCTTATAGTTTTTGTGAATGTTTTTTCAGTGTCTGCAATTTTTTAATCATTGACCTAATTCCTATTGTGTAACGTTGATTCAAGCCTTTGTTATTCTTATCACAACTAGTACAACTATCATCGCACTACCAATTTGTACTTTCCACTTATCATGTTTACCTATGTAACCTATTCCACTGTTATCATTGACGTAGAAACGGCCTTGATTGGTTTAATAATTTTGCATATGCATGTAAATACTACTGTATATTCGAGCAAAACCTGATGAGGATCGAATCGAAAACAATATTATTCATTTATATATCTCGCTGTAGAACACATCAAACAATCTAATATCACATATCTGTCGTCCACATTTAATATAACTATCTATAACAAGCTGATTATACCTGTAAACTGGTAGGAATTCTGTAATTGATATTTTTAAAATATATCATGTTATTAGTAATAATAATAATAATAATAATAATAATAATAATTGAAGTCCATTACATTCGAAATCATAACAGTCCATGAAAAAGAAACAATTGAAATCAGCGATATAAAGCAAAATTATTTACACATGTGCACATGTGGAAATAATATCCAATAGTGTTAAGAAACTAATTGAAATATACAAAAATATATTGCATTATGAAGCAGTGTCATTGACTTCAAAGTTGGACTCTTTCTATTCGTCTGTTTCTACATATTCTATATCTTCTTCTTTTAATGGTTGTTCAAAAACACTTGCCATCAATTGAAAAAAGCTACCAGCATAAATAAGCAAACAAGCTGACCAAGCCATAGGTATCATACCACCATGTGAATATACCGTATTATCACGAACAGTCTAAGTAAGTAGAAAATTATAAATCAATCAAATTCTGACAGAAACATATATAATACCAAGAAAATATTTACCTATTTAAGCTCTCAGCATCATCACTGATAAGTACACTTTGTCATCTTTTAAGTCAGTTACTTACCACCTATATGGAGATATGTTTATTTACAAATACAATATCATCTGTAAACTAGAGAACAATGGGAAGTTTACACTCTTGTTGTCAAATACTCTGACTATTTACACAATCAACATTTAAAGAAGTTGAAAACAAAATGTTCGAGTCTTCCAACCATTGATTAGATTGATTGTTTTGCATAATATGAGTAGTTCATGAATTTGATGTGAATTTGGGAATCGTTTACCACAAAATTTCAGTAAAATGTCATGTGATGCTTAACGGTTACCGATTTGGATGACATACTTTTGTAGGTTCATCAGGATGTTAAATGTCGTTCTTCAGTCGATGGTGGATAGGAATGAAAACAAATTTCGAAATCCATCATTTATTCACGATTCACCTAACTGAGAAAACCCATCGACATCTTGTGATGGGAACATTTGAAAATTGTTTACATTGAATTTCATTCGTAAAGGATGACACTGACGTTGAGAGTTAACACGTCCAAATAAATTCTCGATACAAATTTTCTAGTCAATATATTCCATATCTTCACCCAGTCAGATGACTGAAAATCACATCGAATTTTGATTGTTGCAATGCATTTTTGGATCCGTTCATTAAGAAATGATGTATTTATGTAATGTATTGTGATGTGGCGGTTAGTAGCTATCAACTAGAGAGTGTGACTGGTCATGAATAAGATACTCATTAATTTCCAGTTATCCGAACCCACCCATTCAATTCAAGACCATCATTCGTTAGATCAATTATAGGCTACTGGATTTTATGCAATTTGTATGTCCTCCAATTTCTCTCTAAATCAGTATACTAGGGACACTTTCAATTGGCAACAGTAAATCTATGCATCCATAACATGATGTGTCGTACAGGTATCAATGGAATGTAAATCCCATACCTAATTGCTGATCACATGTCGGTTTAAATATTTTAAACGAAGGAACTTGTTTCGTATTTCTGAAAACGTTGTGCGCATTAAGCAATGAAATGTTGTTAGTATGAAGTCTATGTGTCAGTTCACGGAAATGTCATGAATGGTTTGTTTATTCTGTGAGATTATCTAGGTAGTTTCCTATTGTGCTGCAATTGGTTGTTATGTCACAGGATCAGTTTGATGCATGCATAACTTACAAAGACGGTTCACATGAGAATCGGAGTATTATAGAAATCTTCACAGATTAACGTATGTTAAAGTGAACATTTCAATTAACTTAAGATCTCATGATCGATCATCACAAATTATGATTAGCCTCAGGCATATTGAGAAAATAACCAGAATGCCATCGAACACTCGTATTATGAAGTCGGTAGGTAGAATGGTGTTCACTGATCGGATTGAAATATTGAAGTGAAGAACCTGAAATCACTCCTTACAACTACTCATTTCATCCATATTCAGATTTGTGCTTAACTTCAATATTCGAAATCTCGAAATATGGTTGCGGTAATTCGAATGTTACTTACTTATCAATATGTAGAATAGTCTCAAAATAAAATCTGACTGGACTCTATTTCACATTGACTGTCGAATGTTGACATTAGTCTGAACGCATTGAATGAACATCTGAATATTTAAAACAGAATACTGGATGTCTTATACGAGAGTTGAATGGTAAGTAAGATCCCTGAAGTTTGCTTCAACGGCAAACTGAACACTGTCATAAAATCGATTTAATGAAATAGCTATTTTTGTAGTGTTACATTCATACACTACAAGTGAATGTTACACATATGGACAAATAGAGTAGATCTGAGGACGAAACAAATATTGTCAGTGATCACTCACAACAGATTGTAGATGATGCTTGCAAACTTATGCGCACAACTCAAATGAGTAATTCAATATGAAATTTTCGTAGTATGTTTAAGAATATTTGACAATATTTTACAACCTATTGACAGTATTAAACAGATACAAAGCTATCTGATTATCATTTGAATCTTACCGTTGTCCATGCAGATCTGGCTGATGTTAGCTTAGTATCTAGTCGATAATTTTCTTGTGACATATCTTCGTAATATATCAGAAGACTGATGAAATAAATTAAACCTATTTGGATGAAGAAAATGAAATTCAATGAGCAGAAACGTTGAAAGTTGAGTTGTAAATAAGCACACACATTCATCTGAAACTCATACTGAATAGTCAGAAATGGAGATTGATGAGAAAGCGGGACAGCTAGGATGCAGCTGGACGATCTACACTTCGACGGTGATCTGGCTCTTCTATCGCACACGCAACAACAAATGCAGAAGGCGACCAGCGTAGTAGCAGCTTCAGCAGCAGTAGGTCTCAACATACACAAAGGGGAAAGCAAGATTCTTCGATAAAACACAATATGCAACAATCGAATCACACTTGACAGAAAATCTTTGGAGGATTTTAAAACCTTTACATATCTGGGCAGCATCATTGATGAACACGGCGGATCTAATGCAGATGTGAAGGCGCGGTTCGGCAAAGCAAGAGCAGCATATTTACAACTGAAGAACATCTGAAACTCAAAACAATTGGCAACCAACACCAAGGTCAAAATTTTCAATACAAATATGAAGACAGTTCTACTGTGAGACGGAAACCTGGAGAACTACGAAAGCCATCATCCAGAAGATACAAATGTTTATTAACAGTTGTCTATGCAAAATACTTCGAATCCGTTGGTCAGATTCTATCAGCAACAACCTACTGTGAGAGAGAACAAACCAGATTCCAGTGGAGGAAGAAATCAGGAATTAGTGTTGCATGTGGATAGGACACATATTGAGGAAAGTATCGAACTGCGTCACAAGTCAAGTCCTCACATGGAATTCTCAATGCCGAAGGAGGAGAGGAAGACCAAAGAACACATTACGCCGGGAAATGGAGATAGATATGAGAAGAATGAACAAGAATTGGATAGAACTGGAAAGGACTGCCCAGGACAGAGTGTGTTTGAGAATACTGGTCAGCGGCCTATGCTTCATTTGGAGTAACAGGCGTATGTAAGTAAATAAGTATATGCTGAGACTGGATTATCTAACCCGTTAAGTTTCTCGGCAATTTAATAAACTCATGTTAAACAAATCGGTTCGACATTGTTGTGAATAGTCATCTAAAATATTGCAAACTACTGTCACGTACTATCTCATGAGATACTAATCATTCACTTCATTCATATTATCCTCTTGTATTCTTAAACATGTTTATAATTGAAATGTTGTACAGATTTAAAACTTCTTTTTAAAAAGCCACCTCATTCAATTCTAAGTGGTTTACCTACACAGTTTTTGTATATGCGTATCCAGTCGTCGTTTTTTTCGCTTATTGTTTGGCAATGGAAACTTGTTGAAATACTTTTTACTGAGATTTCTATATTATTCCAATGATATAATATTGAATAAAGCCAACAGGAATACTGCTAATAATAATAATAATAATACTCTGAAGAAGTGGCTTACACTGAGCCACAAAACGTCAGAAAATTTCATTTTTATACTCATTCAGATAATACAAATGTATTATGTTTGATAATAACAGTCTTTTTAATGGCCATTTCCTTCCAAATTATCAAGTGGATCTTCCGTGACAACACCGATAAACTCCTAATATACATAAGTCACAGTAAACTTGTTGTAACATGAATCCCATTATTTCTGAATGTATCAACCACACCATTCAGTCTCGCCACAATTAGTTCATGCCTCTTCAGGTTGAAGAATGATGACTACATTCTGTAGGTTTGTCGCCATCAGTTTACTGATTGTGTCGTAGATTTTCAAAATGGGCACACTTCATTTTTGTCAATTCATATGGAAACTTCTATGTATGGTCGATACTACTTGAATTTAAAAAGTAATGAATCAGTTTTTGGGAATTTATGCAACTACTTGTAATTAATTTCGATGATATTTTGGGATAAGCATAAGTGACACAACTAGAAATGTTGATCATGAAGCAAATATATATACTGTTTAGTAAATAAAGTTCTTTTGAAATCTGTAAGTGATCATACATGTGTACGTAGTAACTTCTACCGATCTGTAGAAAAATGTTCACAAAGACTTAAAGTGAGTCTGTGATTGATTGTTTGCGACGAATATTTTTATACATATATGACAACATAACTCTTCTATCTTATACAAGTAAAATCATTCGATGTTTATTCATGATCATTGCCCAAATGCTAGTAGTACTATTATAATATTATCCGTGGAACACGATCTTAAGTGATGCCGAGTGAGTTCAAATTAGGATCTATTAATTGAAAGCAAGACATTTCTACGATCGTACCATTCTTCCATTTATATTATATGACAACGTAATATGCATGAAAGAAATTTACCTGTAAGCCATAATGCGGCACCTCCACCCAAAGCAGTATATTGAGCTGTTCGAAATCTGATTTTTTGTGGTCTCATACATGCCGTGAGAAGTAAGGCACATGTTATAACAATGATAATGAAAACCAATATGATTGCAGTGATTTGTAATGAATTTATAATTGTCCTCATAACTAAAGGAAAACGAATTTGATAACATTTTCTGAGTTGAGGTTTATTGATTACCATTTATAGATAATATGAAATTTTTTATCTGTTTTTATTCAAAAACATGAACATTTGTACGAAGGATCCCCAAAACATGCATGTGCAACAAAACGTTATGTGATGGCTGGGATACTACTGGATATCCCTAAATGAAGCATTTGATTTTCCTAGGGGGCTTCATCATGGAGCTTTGGCCAAGAGATCTAATAAACAAAGTAATAGTAGAGCGATCTCATAGAACACAAAATAGGTTCGTATATCACTTGTCTTTCCAAGATGCTGAAGCCCATGTGCACTATCGGATCGGTATCTGGTTTTTCCTACTACACGGAGTAAATCCTTCATACCCACAACCGAGTTTAAGCGCCAAACATTCGCTTTTCTGAATTTCATAAACAATACCCTCTACACCAATAAGGCAGTGAGTAGGACTTCCCTAGCAGTGCTATATACTCGTGGCCATACAATAGTGCTTTGAGAGGGAAAGGTGAATCACAACGCCATTGGCCGTGTCAGGAAACGTAAAGTATAGTGATCGAGAAAAATTGTTACCCTCTATGAACGAGCCGCAGTGTGGTCCGTCGTATGAATTCCATATGATTTTGACAATCTTGTCAGTCACAAGGGGTGTCGAACAAGATTTTATAAGCTTATCATATCCATATTGTCAAATACTTTCTCGTAGTCATCTACGTTGATGTATGGAGATGAGTTCCATTCAGTTCACAGTTCAACAATGATCCGTGGCATAGCGGAACCTGTTATTACAGTTCTGAACTCAACTGGACGGGCAAGGTGAACAAAGGACCAATAAGGAAGCTAGGCAGCCAATAGGGTCAAACATCATTATTTTAGCACAGATTGAATAAGTCGTATTTCGATTGCTGGATAAATCACGTGGTAATAAGCCGTCCTTTTAACACACAACAAGTGGGGTGACAGTTATAGGAATGTCTGTGTGTGCAACTTCGATGTCCGATAGATTCAGTGGGACTGGTATATTCAAGAGTTCATCGAAGTGATCTACCCACTTGTTTGGTTAACCCTGAATGTCGATGATTGCTTTGTCTTCCTTGTACTTGATAGTTCATTCCGGCTTGCTGAATTTTTCTGCTAGTTTATTCTTTGTATCACATACATTTCATATATTTCGTTGTATTGCTCGATCTTCCACATATTTCCTCTTTTCAGCTCTAATGCTTCTCTTCATTCTCTTGTGTGCTCCTGTGTATTCAACCTGTGCCATAACTTTCTCCGCTCTGGTCGGCTGTTATTAATTGTTGTGTTCGTGTACTTCCTTTCTCGAATCTTGCCCAAAGCGCCTACAGAGATCTAGTCTCCCTTCTTACACTTCTTGAGGCTCAGACACTTTTACGATCCTGAGATTATTACAACTTCGGTCCCAGTCCAGTATTTTTTCATAGTAGACCCCTGTTTTTCTATAGGATCTCGTAAGGCACGAAGCTTGTTGCCGAGATCTATTCTGAACTCAGTGAGTCTGCCGGTGTGTCGAATGAGGCTGTATTTAACTCTGTTGTGTTGCTTGTCTGATTGATGAATACTTGTTTAGATTAGGATTTGGCCTTAACACCACAAAGTGATAATCTCAAGCAAAATCATCTCCTCTGCTTAATACCACATCTTCCATGATACCCGCTAATTATTTATTGATATGTGATTTATTATTCTGATCATCTATGATGTAATCCAGTGAAACCCATGTAGCTCAGTGTATGCATTTGTGTTGGAAATTCATACCACCAACAAGCGTGTTGTTCTAGGCACACAGACTTCGTGGTAACTGAATATTCTCGTTCCTCTCTTCCACTCCATGTAACCGTACTATGTTTTCATACATGGTGTCGTTCACAGTGACCCTGAATTCAAGGTCCCCTATCAGGATGATCAGGTTTTTTGCTGAATGAATCTCCATGTTGGATCGAAACTCCTCACGAAACCGATCTTATATCAATTACAAAGTCATTATATTCATTGCATACACGAGTTCAGTCAGCTACTACAATGAATCCGTTGACTCACATCTACATCATTTTGGAGTTCTGATGTTGGACAAATAGGTTATCATGAGTACAGTCACATGTTGTACAACTTTCAAATGGTTATCTTTCGAGTCTATTCTATTACTACAATCTTATACAGGGTGTCTAATAATATTGTGAGGTTATTGTAACTCAGTGAAATCATTCAGGTAATTTATGAGAATCTCAGCACTATTTGTGAAGCTGTTATGATGAAGCATTTAGGCAAGTGTCGTACACACTAGGACAATCATTGACCAATCGTGTTGATGAATACACTGAACATGTGAAGTATCGTGTGTTTCACAATACTTGAGTTACCATTCAGATGATTGTTGCGAAATGGAATGTGAGGAAATCGCATATGCACACGACTTTAGAGAAATATGATAGCTTTGGAAATTTGTATGAGACGAAGGCCTGTCTGGCAAACGCAACTACCGATGACTTGAAAGATTACTGTGAATAATGAAATCGACAATGAAACAAATGTGTCGTCATTTATGACAAAGCACATTTGGAAGGGTTAATCGGTACACGGAATGCAACCTGAATTCGTACAGACAAAATGATGATTTAAGTTCTCAGTTCTACTGGACAGGTTGAATACTTCGGTTACACTATTATCTTCTTCAATCATATACTGAGCATAGAAGGAATAGTACACAATCGCCAAACTTCAGTGCATCAACTGAGTGGTATCATGAACACTGATAGAGTCCACAATCTCAACTTCACTCTAGTTTACATCCGACCATAAACAGTATTTCGCAGTATCAAACATGAACAAGACAGATATTCACGTCCTCCTGTTTCTCACTTTTTCTCCACTCGGTGTCTGCTAGTGACCAAGCGAACTGCACACTGAGCTTTACAAGTCTCGTTTATGAATTTAGTGATTTTGAGCAATCAGGCTTCTTGAATTCAATCATCGCATTGTTTTCGGGAGTTCAATTTCGAATCATGACAATTGTCATTCAATGTAGGAAACACACTATTCTGACTAGTTGAACATGCCTATCTGAATTAGTGATTTTCGATTGAGCAAATATTTACAACAGTGTAACTTAAGATATGGTAGTCTTCCTCATCTTAACCGACTGAAGATTTTCAAAACAGAGTGAGATAACTATGAATTCATGTTTAAGCAAATCTCAAATGAAATATTTCATAGTCTTGCATCACTAACTCAGAGGAGTGACAGAGGTCATGATTAGTGAGAATTAAGAGTGTCAGGTATGAGACAAATATCGAGAAGTGATTGAGGGTCGAATTGTCAATGGTCGAATGTCAACTTAGTTGTCCACAGGATCAGCACTCATTTCGACACCTGAACGTCGTGAGGTCGGTCTGTGGTGCCGTTGTCCATGAGTACTCCTCATTCCTCTCATACGTCGACGATCAGTTGTCCAATGTTTCCTGATCTCTAATGATTGTCCAGCCGAGATTAGCCCACCATTTAAAAAATATAAAATCTAACAATATTCACAACTCCCCCATACTAATGACGAATTTCATGTTCATTTCAAATGTACTTTTGCATCCATTATTCTGTCTATATTTTAGTAAACACTTTACTGACTTACATAATAATGGTTGAACATTACCATTGTAGCTGCCAGATTCTGTACTAGATTCCAGAGCATAACATTGACCATTGTATGATGAACTTACTAAAAATACATATAAGGAATGAAATAAAGTGAATGGATTTCAATTCTGTGAAATGGATGTGCTCGTTTGTTTAAAACAATCACTGTGCTATTAAGGAAGCTTTGTTAGCTCCCATTGAATAATGCACTGATGTTGGAAGCGATAGTCTAAAAGTAGGAACTAATTTCTAATCGTGAGTTATTTATCGATTGTACATGTTTGATACCAAATAATGAGTGTTAATAGTAAATAAACAACTCTGGTTGGTGGAATTTACCGTAACGTTCATAATATGCAATAGGTATTGCGGATTTGATGCTTTGGGTGATCTCACAGTCAATCCAGTGGATGAGTACGGTCTACCAAAGATTCCATTTGAAGTTTTATTTGAACAACTTTTCTGTTTCTATCTGGTGTTATGGACTGCTATTTACCAGGATACTTATGCGAAATGGTTGCGGATATCTCCATATATTTAAGATGAAATATTGGGTGAACATTAATCTTCAGTAGGCATCAATCATCCATTTAATGAAGGAAAGAATGGTCGGAAGCGATGGATGGAAAATGTTTACTGAGCAGTGATATTCTTACGGATAATGTAAGCCGTTATGCTTGCGAATAAAATTCATATCATCCGGGTTCAAAATGTGCCAGCAATCGTACTTGTTATTAAACTAGTTAGAAAGTATTTAATCAGACTATGGATGGTGTAGAGATGCTGTGGAGATTCAATGTTCAGTATGATAACAGATATTCACACTGAATTCACGATTCGATAATGCATATTTCATAAATAGATATTTCTCAAAACAATCCCAAATGCAATTCAGTATAGAACTGTCTATTAGGATTGTAAATTTTAATCTATACCATAAAAGTGTTGAATATTATTCATATTTGGCCTGATGTCAATTCGTGATGGCAAATCTGACTCAGTTTCTTAGCTTAAACTCAAAAAGCTTATTTCTCATTCTTCATAATAATCCATAACCCTATACTGAGAGTAATAATTAGTCGAAGTTTAACAAGGTCACTTCAGAATCACTCTATGATCACCCGTTAATTATGGCCTCATCCACACTTGGCAATCGACTGTTTCTAGATAAAACGCTATCTAGATAATTAACATAGGTAAACACGCTGTATTCTTAAAAATACTGTTATAATATTCTGATTACTATGAATAGCCTTTTCATATTGTATATGTTAACTTCAATTACGTTTTCTGTCAGACTTCTACACTACTATTGTAGCGAGCAGTACACCAGTAGGGACAATCGAATGTCTTTGACAATAAATTACAGAACTTTTTAATAAAATCTAACAATCATATAGTAAATGTTCAATTTACAAAATGACCATCAATTGTCTCAAATGGCCCAGACTTCATTGTTCTTGTATTCTCATACAAATTGCATTCTGTTTACAATCTTTGCCGTCCGGTCCTCTTATCTCTCTGCTGCCAGACCTTCTGTTCACCACTAACGTCATATACTACTTATGTCTATATATGTAGCATACATCACACTACTTTTACATAAATCGTCAATTATTTCGGATTGTTTATCTGTAAATAGGAGAATGAATTTTAGTGATATTGTTATCTGAAGTTTCTATTCTAGAATGTTCCTGATCCTTTATCAATTCCTTAATTTTCTACTATTTACATTGAATTTCACTCATTCGTCTTTCATTTGATTTCAGTCTGCAAGATGTATGACCATAGAAACAAACAAATAATTATGCTAACAATCAAAAGAGTAATTATATAAATTGATAATAAATTATATTAATAAAGATATTTCACCCGAAACCTTACCTATTTGATTAGTAACACATTGCTTCCATAATCCACGAGTGCGACTTAATTGATTATAATTATCAATAAGGCCAATGTACGTAACATCGTAAACAGCCCAATCAGGTGATATTTGTACTGTAATGGCCAAACCCAAAAATACCAACTCACAAATATATGATGCTGTATTTAACCCAATCCAAGCTGCACGACCAGTACGCATATTTTTATATTTATAGAATTGTGATTTTGGTAACCAACAAATTCTCTTTTGTTCATATTTTACCTTTTATACACTGATCACTTTATGACGAAAAGAATATCATCCAATACGTAGAAAATATTCAGTTAAATGTACTGCATTGATTAGAAAATTTTTAGGTGAAATTCGATTGGCCTATCATAGTTGTTTTAATAAAGGTGTTATATGCTACATTCATTCACAACTCAGTTATCAATTTTCTCATCTGATTGTTTCAAATTGAAATGTAAAGATCTAACTAGTTGGATTGGCACATTGATGTTTATCTAGTTGATCAAAAAGATGATTTTTTCAAAAAATACGTGAGTAATCTGGGTAACATTTGACCGTTAGTCAGTTGAACATTATGTTTAATTTGATACGTGTGTACAACGTTTCGATTTACCACACCATATTAGCACAGCAAGATGAAATTGTCACGACTAACCTCAGAGTAGTAGATGTAGAAGCAGTATTGGTGGTAACGTTCTGAACGAGAACAGAAGTGAGGAGCAACCAAAATTACAGAATATCTTGCTAACATATTAGAAGCTTACGTTGAACAGTTCATTTGTCCTCCATATTCTGCATGATTCTTCTAGTCCACAGTTCCTCTCTACTTCCCTTTCTATTCTCTTCAATTCGATCTTCTTAACCTTCTACTGCCATGCTTCCCACTTTCGAGTGACATTACATATTACTTATGTCTGTCGACGTAAGGAGCATACACCGCAGTAGTAAAAAAGCCTGGGCATCCAAGATACGATAGGTTACGATAATCACAAAAACCCCATTCAGGTAATTTGCAACTATTAACATGGCTCAATTCAATGGTTAGTGTTATCATGGACTGATAGCACGTCTTGGTTTTACTAATAAAAATTCACTAACTCATTGGTTGGTTTTCCCTGCCAACCTGGTATTATGGGTCTAACCTGCAACCTGTTAAACCGATGGTGCGAAAATATACGTGCGATACTTCGAAGACACCTATGATCTAAAACCAGTAATGTACGCTCTGAAATGAGCGGCAGTCTATCAAACCTCTCTTACGTTAACTGACAATAATGTAGTCTATTTAAGTCCATCGCCGAGTCGATTGTGGGGTCATCACGTTGAACGATATTCGTCCTCATGCTCGAAGTTGGTGCTTACCAGGAATAGACGTTTATTTGAGCATAGTTGCAGTAGACAAATGCCATTATCTATTCGCTTAGCTGTGAGACTCAAGTATCTTTTGGTATGCTTTAGACTATCTGCGTGGGGATTACAATTATGTCACTATTATTACATCAAAGGGTTTAGCGTTTCGGAAGAGGTTGGACAGCTTCCCGTAGCAGTTATCTTTCACTGAATTCGAGAGAGGCGATGGAGTGTACCGTTACCCTTCCTAATACTTACTGTCCCACTTAGTCGAACAACCCACAAGCTACAATATATTACAACCCAGTCTAGGAGAGCCTATTCTACATTTGAACCAAATTCTACTAATACACCAGTGAAGTTACAGGAAGTAGCAGTAGGGTCTCCAGATACGCAAAGAGTAAATCATCCTGGTTTCTTTTTCTTTTCGACTTGAGGTCAAATAAATGACCATACTTAGACCCTCTTTATGCTTTTCGGAGAAGCAGCATACACAGACTGGACGAGATTATAGAAACTTAGCTAAACAAGCCTGTCCTCCTACGTGAAACGAAATTTGAAGATTGTAAGCCACAAAATATGGTTTAGAGCATGATTTCAGGGGACTAGGAATAACACTTCGTGCACTCAAATCACTAGCATTGGTTACACGTGGTGACAGAGATATGCAATAATGCGGAGTCGTGAAGATAGTAGAATTATTAAAAGGTGAAGGATGAATTTGTTCGTATACAAGATGATATGAAGTGCTATTAGAGGTGCGAGAGCACTTGTCACTTCAGGCTGACAAATGACCAGAATATGAATCTGGGTAGTGGTGATCTTAGTGAATTGAGAGCGTGACCACAGAGCCCAACGGACAAATGCCTGAGAGCCATCATCCACAGTCTTTCAATGGAAAGATTTCGAAGTGTACACGGATATATATATTTTTTTAACACATAGATATTGCTACAAGAAGGCACCAAATATATATACGCCGCACAGATCTCATTTGATATGTGTGAGGGCTGTGATACTGACCGGGTGCCCAAACCGAAGCAGGTGGTGGTTGTCTTAGGGGGCCACACCCCGAGCCTTCGACCTGAACGTCTGACCCACAAGGCAGTGGAGCATCGTGAAGAGATGCAGTCACATGGTAGCCGGTGACCAACGATTGGTTCATATGTCATTTGTCCCTTCAGGATACCGGAGCCCATCTGCATCATTGATTTGGGATCCGGTTAAAGCGCCGGACAATCGCTTTTCGTCGTCTCATTTTCGTAAACAACACGCCCGCCACGAGAAGGCAGTGAGTAGGACTTCCCTGGCAGAGGCTATATACGCATGGCCATGTGAGAGCATTTGGAGAAGGAGAGCGGACTCTCCCCACTCTCGGCCGTATCAGGGCATTTGGGGGCATATATATATATATATATATATATATATATATATATATATATATATATATATATATATATATATATATATATATATATACAGTTATACGTAAATGATTCTGAAATCTAAATCTTGAAACTACAAACATTGAAGTGGATAACGCGATAGTGTTTGAAGCGAACGTTACCGGGTTCGAGTCCCGGAGTGAACACCAACTCTGATGCAGGTACATCCAGCTGACAAGTCCCAAATAGGACGAAACGCTCGTCCTGGATTCCACTGCTAGCCACTATCTATCTTTGATTGTCATAACAGATTTTGTTTTGTTTAGCATTTAATTAACTGTTAATATAACAACTACAAGTTTGGTTGAAACTATGCCATACATAACTTAAATAATTCTAATTTAGGTCATCTATTTTATATAGAAGTATAATAAAAGTCTTTGTTCAGTCGTTAAGCAAATTAGTTCATTGATTAATACATAGAAGTAAAACAAAGTTGAATTATGCATATTACTTGGTATTACAAATAATCTTATTAATGTATACTCACTACAAAGTATGTACGCATATATCTGGAGAGCACACATTCAATCTTATGAAATGACGCTTACCAAAGTGAAAAAAACTGCGTAATTTCAAACCTGTGATTTCGGGAAAATATATTCATACGTAGCAAGTATTTAATCACAAATACCTTACAAGCATTAATCACGAATGTTAGGATCACAGGATATTAGACGTACAGCACTAGTCACAGATGGCAAACCAGTTCACGAAGTACTGAGTCTTCATCAATTGAACTGATTGGCACATTTATTACGCAGTATTAACAATCACCTACGTCGACGCATTATCTTGGTTGCAGTGTGTTGAAAGAAAGGTAAGGAGAACCAAATCAAGATATCCAATCACAGCACGAAATCATTAACCATATATCTGAACCGCATTGATATGTGTAGACTGCTTATTTGAGGTTATGAATAATTGGAGACATTGTGTGATGCGGTTTAGATATGTGCATTCCTTGTTTTCTCTCATACCCTGAAATTCAGAACTACTTTTCACTTTCCATCCTACGAGTAATTTCTTTCTTCGTCAGTCATATTCTCTATACATAATCCTTTTTACAACCACTGATGATAATAATGCTTTGGTATTTATGTTGACAGTTTCATTTCGTTTTGTTATTGCAGTGTGGAAACTTGGACCGGTGTGGATATATTCTAGATTCTAAGTTGTCTATGGCTGACTGAATTTAATGATTGTCCTGTAGCTTCTTCGTTATTCATCAATCCGTATCATTGTGTAGTCTAGAATGCAATCATCAAATTCTAAAATCGATAATATTACTGTTACGGCTACCTTTTTCTGGTTAGCGTTTTTTTAGCGAGTTAGTTTTCTACGGGATAGGGTCCTAACCCCATGCCCAACCCTCTTCTTTTATCCGGGTTTAGGACCGGCAGTAGCCCCCGGAGGGACTCTAGGTGGAGTTTACAGCTACCTTAGTCAGTATAAATTGATAATATTAACGTCTTATTATAGATTATCGAGCATTAACTTAATGATAAAGATGAAATAATAATCAATATCACAAAAGAAGTATTATTTTTGAATACTGTTCTTTTCTTCTACTCAGATCATTCGTACACAAAAAGCGTAAAAGCATTCGCTTAATATGAAAGAGATTGGATTTCTTCAAATTTTGAAAGTTTTATAAATTGTCTAATTTTTAGATATACCTTTAAACACTGTACAATCAGTATTTAAACCTAATTTGTACAATTGATCTACAAAATAAGGTCTACCATAACGTTCAAAATGTAAAGCATCTTCTTCATTGAATTTACATCCATTTAATGGATCAGTACCAATGATACGACGTTTAGTTAATACTTCAATTGCCATTCCATTCGAGATGGCTAATTCTGGTTTTAAAATAACCATAGTATGTTCAAACTGAGCTGATCTTGAACCATCCCTGGTTACTGCAGTCCAATTGTCTGGCCATAACTCATCATTCCAATCGCCTTCATTTATCATTGGTTCAATAGTGAAACAATGTCCCGGTTTCATGACACCGACTGCCTTATTACCTTTAAAACGTATTAAAGAAACCAGCGGAAATATTTAAAAGTTTGTTATTTAATTATACTACAATATATATATATATATAACTACAAAACCAAAATACTCAACTCGTCAAACAATAGTTGCTTTATGTTAAGGGGAAATTTTTGAATAATTTTGAGACTGTTGCAAAAACACACCATTTTGCAAGGTCTAAACGACTACTGAATGAGTTATTGTATTTCAATTTTACACATCATTTGTAACCGATATATATATATATATATATATATATATATATCGATATATAGAAGTCTCTGTAGATTATCATCAAAATACTTTATATCTTTAAAACGAAGTATGTTCTTACACAGGAAATGACAATTCAACAGACCTCAAAAAGGTGTCTGCCAAGGAGATGACTAAAAATCGATAAGAAATAAAACAACAAAAATACTCACAACCTTAACCGCAAATTATTAATACATAAGATTAAATATAATAATTAAGATTATCGTATCACTACTACTACTTCATTAGAATTTTATCAGTAGTACTATGAACTACATCAACATTTTATCAATGTATTACAAAGATGAACAATTTATGACCATTTGATATTTTCAGAATTTTCATTGAACAGAAATCGTTTCTCTTGCATGACATTAATTAGTTTTGTGGTTGTGTTTGTTTAGTATCTCTTTTTTTTAAGAAAAGAAAGTGAAACTCAACTTTCTTCATCATCTGATTCGATAATCTCCTAATGAAATTAAGCGATCGGTGTGTGTGTCAATGGTTAATGGGATGACAAAACTGAAATTTTAATACACTTCCTAATGTTTATACATCAATGATAATTTATGAATCAATCTATCGTTATGAATACAGCAAAAATAAGCATCTATTCTTACAAATATACTTTATATATAAAACAGTCAAAATGTTTTTTTGATAAAGTGAATTTACGTGAATAGTGAAGAATATTTGGAGGACAATGAAATAACCGATGTATTCCATGACCTGAATAAGTCTTGACAACAGAAAATCCACCAAGTGAAGCGTTTTTTGAAATTATATCTCCCATTTCACGATATTTAACACCTGGAAGAACTAAAATATTAAGATAAAAAGATGAAAGAGTAAGTAAACTAAATTAATACCTATAATACATCTATATAATTTCAAGAATTATTAATCATTTAAAACTGATGAAAATTTCTACATTCATCAAGTGTTTTATATTATGACGATAAGAAGATTACAAGTATATTATTTCATGAAGGAAACAATAGCATTAATAAGATCACTTTGGTAAATATATAGAAAATGAGATAAATAATAAGAGTAAATCGTACTACTTCATTGAAAAGAGATTAATAAAATGGGAGAACAGTGAAATAAAAATAATAATTCACTTGGTATTGTTTGTTTGAATCTTCCATATGTGCATACTGTGCGTATTACCTTAATTCATAAGCTTTATAAGCAAAGATGGATAGTGGCTAGCAGTGGAATCCAGGACGAGCGTTTCGTCCTATTTGGGACTCGTCAGCTGGATGTCCCAGAATGATCAATTGCAGTCTTAAACCTCGATGAGAAGATTCAAGCAAAACAATACCAAGTGAATTTAAAATCCGCCCCATTGCACAAGCTATTGATTATTAGGACTCAGTAGCTGAGTGGATAACGCAATGGTATTTGAAGCGAATGATACTGGGTTCGAGTCCCAGAGTGAATATCAATTCTGAGATGCAGGTACATTCAGCTGACGAGTCCCTGGATCCCACTGCTAGCCACTATCCATTTTTCCTTAAAAATAATAATGTTAAGAATAGGTAAAGAGTTAGGCGATAGTGATGAAATTAATCAAAACAATTTTGAAGATGGAGTTGAGGAAAGTATTAAAGTATCGACTAATCACAACAAGATATAAAATAACAAATGAATTTGTATTTTGTTAGACCTGAAGATTTGAAATATCATTTTTAAGTTGTCAGCCATTAATTTTGAAGGTCTAACGATATTCAACTAAATGGTGTTATCCTATCTTTTTGGCATGGATAAAAAGAAGCATTTTCTATCCTGATAGTATAATATTTGTCCAGATGAAGATAGAAAACTGTATTGTAAAAGTGAGAATGGAATAATATCAACCAGAATAAATTATAATGGAAATAGTAACAGTTAAAATTATTTAATTAATTAAGGAAATTACTATGTAGACATTCAGAGAAAAATATATAAAAAAACGAAGACAAATTCCGTTTTATTTAGACGAAAAGGATTAGTGAAAATTATTCGAATATGTAGGTGATATTTCTCACATCGCAGATGACCTAGCCCTCCTATCGCATACACACGAACAAATGCAGATAAAGACAGCCAGCATAGCAGCAGTCTCTGAATCAGTAGGCCTCAACATACACAAGGAGAAAACCAAGGTCCTCAAATACAACAGAGAACAGAAATCCAATCACTCTTGATGGCGAAACTCTGGAAGATGTAGAATCCTTCACATACCTGGGAAGCATCATCGATAAACAAGGAGGTTCAGATGCAGGCGTAAAAGCGAGGATTGGCGAAGCAAGGACAGCATTCCTCCAATCGAAGAACATATGGAACTCAAAACACCTATCAACTAATATTAGTCACCACCTTCAATACGAACGTCAAGACAGTTCTACTGTATGGAGCTGAAACTTGGAGAACTACTAAAACCACCATCAAGAAGGTACAAGTATTTATCAATAGCTATCTACACAAGATACTCAACATCCATTGGCCGGATACCATCAGCAACAGCCTTTTGTGGGAGAGAACCAACCAGCGTCTAGCAGAAGAGGAAATTAGGAAAAGACGATGGAAATGGATAGGACATACATTACGCAAATCATCAAACTGCATTGCGAGACAAGCCCTCATTTGGAATCTTGAAGGAAAGCAGAAAAGAGGAAGGCCAAAGAACACATTACGTCGGGAAATAGAAGCAGATATGAAAAGGATGAATAAGAACTGGAAAGAGCTGCAAAGGATTGCCCAGGACAGGGTTGGATGGAGAATGCTGGTGAGCGGCCTATGCTCCTTCACGAGGAGTAACAGGCGTAAGTAAGTAAGTAATTTCTCACATAAGCGTTGTCACTGAAGATTTATTTCGTCCTACTGTTAGAAACCCACAGTGATGCATAATCATAATCCAAGAATTCTAGGCCACGTAGCAAACACTTAACCATTAAAACCACTAGATGAGAGTACACATTTCCAAATTCGATTAACTCGTGATATAGTCCGATAAATGTCCAAAGCCAGTAATGATGACTAATTCATTTTGAGCAAAACACAGGAGCAGAAAATCAATTATATATGATTAGTATGCTAGATATTTACCACTCTTTGGAAAATCAATACCTCAGGATTTAAAACACCTTGTTAACATGCTTCGAGTAGATGAATTCGCGTACAAATCTAGTTACCAACTGAATGACACTAGTCAGCTGACTGACTGACTGACAAATCTAGTTACTAACTGCATGACACACTACACTCTAACACAAAAATTTCGATCTACTGACAGATATATGGAACTTAGAACCTGTTACATGTGTTTATTGGTTCAAGTTGCTATATTCTATCAACACAACGAGATGAATCTGTCACAGAAAATCTTGGATTAGTATAGTTAGTAACAGTATTAATGGTAATAGAGAAAGTTGGGCATCCCAAATACAGTTAGAAAAAATATAAAATACTGAAGCACGAAAAAATCATAGGGAATTTAGAAACTTAGGATCTGAGGGAAGATAAAGAGTGGAAGTACGCGCGCTAATGCAAACGACTCTCAAAAATGTCGCCCAAAGCCTCTGACCACTGATTACGATAACCACGTAGACCTTAACCAGGCAGTCTAAATGACTCAGCTCAACAGTCTTCGTAAACTAGAGCCACTGGTTTGCCCACATCTAGCTTTCTTCCAAACTATTTCTATACCACTCAAGGTACTCAGTGGATGGGTATACGTAATACATGCCCAAACCAAACAAGAATAATATTCTTGTTGTTCCGTTGTATTGTTTAAACTTGGATTAGTTTTGATTTGGTTATTTATTCTCTGAAGAAGTGGCTTGCACTAAGTCACGAAACGTCAGAAAATCCAATTTTTCTACTCATTGGGATATTACAAATTTATTATTTATTTATCTCTCTTTATGCTCGAAGTTGGTACTTGAACCTATTTAATATTAACACAGAAATCAAAAGATGTTTTTCTCTATATATAGCCAAACGATGAGTAATTAAGGCGACTATAGCAAAAAGTCAATAAACCTACCAGCATCCATAGATCTAGCCAAACATTTGTAAGCATTTTTCACTAGATTAACTGAACGATTATCTGGTTGACCTACAAACACTGTCTCATTCACATCACCATGAAATCCATTGTGGTATGTGGTAATATCAACTAGAAAGAAGGGTTTTTATAGATTAAAATAAACACTTTGTCAAGATTTGATTACATAACTTTACTAAGATAGGGTATCTAGTAATTATACATATATATCATTAAAAAAGCACAATAGGTCAATCATATTCAAATGTTAATTTTGTTTATAATGTGATTATGCGTTGTGTGGTATGTAATGTACTTCAAATTACTGCATTTTCTCCTGGTCTCTTTACGGTACAAGGCGACCATTGATTGTTAATTAAAATATACTTGGTAGGTGTTTTGATTTCGTTCTGCCTTCATTTCAATTATACTTATAGAAAATATTGAGTAATTTTGTGTCATTATTAAATTTAATTTAATCTTTTCATCTTAGTACTCATTATTGAGCTGATAAACAAACTGTAACCCAATTTTATGTCTGGAATCCAAGAGAAAAAATTGAAAGTATTTGAAACAAACGTGATATGAATTTACATCACACAAATAATGCACATAGTTCGACATTAATGAAAAACAAGAATGTAATACCCAAAGAGGAACAACAAAACTATGTCTAAGGAATTAGATGTAACGACTGCAGTGTTGTAAATACATATAAGATATCAAATCAAACACATTTAAAGTATTTAGTTTGTTGGCATTCGCTAACTCTTTTTACATTACTCCTGTATATTATATAACACTACTCGCGTATACCATGGCTTCGTGTATACAAAGGGTTCTCATAACGAGAATGTTGTTTATGAAATTGAGAGGACGAAAAGCGAATGTCTGAAGTCTAGATCGGGTTGGTGGGTATGGAGGATCCACCGAGAAGAGTTGAGAAACCCTGATTCCAAATCAATGGTGGATATAGGCTCCACGATCCTGAGGAAACAAATAGCACAGAAGAGAGTCGTCTAAGTGATCAAGGTGAACTTGTTGGTCGGATAACGGTGACCGTGTACTGCAAATTTGTGCAGACAACAACCTGTTTCCGGTTAGCACTAATTACTGGTACAGTCATGGCCGATGTGCTACCTGGCATCCTCCTTCTGCATTGCAAATCTGGACTCAGATTAATTGTTGCGATCAGTTACAGCTGGTGTGGCTGTGTACAAGATTGCTACCTCTTCTGGAGAACTTACCCGAACTCTGACCATTACCTTGTTTGAGCTAACCTGATCTAGCGTTTCAGTGGCCAATATATCCACCGCCCTAAACGGATCGATGTCAGTAAATTGGTTGCAGCTTCTGTTACAACTAAATTTCAAACCAAGCTAGGTTTAAGGCTAGCTATCAACCCACCGAAAAGTATAGATGAGCATTGGATGCAATCGCATGACGCCATGAAAATGGTGAGTAAAGTCGCTTGCGGCTTCGCGAAACGTCCCGCTTATAAACACTGGGTTTCTAAAGACTTCTTACGACTTATTGGAGCACTTTAGTTTACTCCGAGTGACCACGAGCTTGATCATAAATCAAGATTATTACGCAACGAAATTGCCCAAAGCTTGTGTAAGGACCGAGAAGCTTGGTGGTCGAACCGTGCTAACGATTTGGAAGCAGCAGTTCCTCTTGGTGACTGCTGGAAGCTCTTTTAATTCATCCGAGTCACTGGAAGCAAGAAGTCTGGTGTGAGCGACACAATCTGTGAAGCTGATGGGATGCCGATCAATAAGATTCACCAACGTCTTGGACGACGACCAGTTTTTCGAAGAGCAATTCAACTGGTCTTCTACCCCGGTGACATCGATCAGACTGTCCCACTATCCGTAACCTGTGATGACTGATCCATCTAACGTATGGAAGTCCGCAAGGGACTCCAACTCTTGAAGCGTTACGAATCACCAGACCCAGATGAGTTACCTCGAGCCACTATTAACGGTGGTGGAGATCTTCTAGTTAAGGGACTGACTGAGTTGTTGAAAAATGTCTGGAAATTAGAGTGTCCCGGCATCGTGGAATGAGTTGATGGTTGTCCCTATATTTAAAAACGGTCCACGTGACTTCTGCAACAAATATCGGGGGATAAGTCTACTCCCAATCGCATCCAAACTGTTGGCCCCAGTCATACATCGTAGACTGTTCAAAACCCGGAAAAATTGACTCGCAAAGAGATGGCTGGTTTTTGCTCTGATCGAGGATGTATTGATCATTTATTCACACTTCACTAAATGTTAGAACGCAGTCATAATTATTACAGGTCAAAAACCGTAGTTTTTTGGCATCATGGCCATCGATTCGTTTGACAGGACTGTTCTCCAGGATTGTCTATTGAAGAAGGGTGTGTTTAAGAAGTTTATTAACATCGGTGACAGGAGATTTGCTGTTTGCCCGTGAGGTCTGGCCTCTACGAGTTGATGATATCCGGCGAACTTTTTCAATCCTTATCATCTCCAAAAAATGTTAACATTATGTTAGTGCGGATGTTCGGCATCGTGTGTTCGAGCACAGTGACGAGAATACAACTGGTGTCACCATCTTGAAACACCGACCTCGGCGGCTTGCATATGCTCTACGAATGCCATCCCAGAGAATTTCATATCGTGCATCATTTGCCGATACTGGGAACGACTAGAAAAAACGGAGAGGTGGTCATCACACATGGTGTCGTAATATGAAAGAAAGCTCTACAGGACTGGCTTCTGTTGGCCCTTCACGACTCCCTGGTTGGAATCCTAAGATGGTACAACATAGTGGCTTAAGGCATTATCAGACATGGCTCAGAATAGAAGCGAGTGGCGATTCTACTGTAACTCTTCATAAAAGTGAACGTAACTTCGTTAACTGAAAGAATTCTGTTTCTCCGATTATTATTATTATTTCACTCTCATACACTAGTTTCTGTTCGTTGTTCTTTCTATTATTGATTTAATTATTTATTTACTTGAACACATAAATATTGGTACAAGGAGGCACCAAATATATATACGCGACACAGAATTTCATTTGTGTGTAGGCTGTGATACTGACCGGGTGCCCAAACCGAAGCAGGTGGTGGTTGTCTTAGGGGGCCACACCCCGAGCCTTCGACCTAAAGGTCTGACCAACAAGGCAGTGGAGCATCGTGAAGAGATGCAGTCACATGGTAGCCGGTGACCAACGATTGGTTCATATGTCATTTGTCCCTTCAGGATACCGGAGCCCATCTGCATCATTGATTTGGGATCCGGTTAAAGCGCCGGACACTCGCTTTTCGTCGTCTCATTTTCGTAAACAACACGCCCGCCACGAGAAGGCAGTGAGTAGGACTTCCCTGGCAGAGGCTGTATACGCGTGACCATGTGAGAGTATTTCGAGAGGGAGGGAGGGCCCACCCCACCCTCGGCCATACCAGGGCATTTTGGGGCACTGTTTATTATACACACTTTACATTATTTATATCTTCATAGCCTCATCGTTATTGTGTGGCGTATATGTATTTGGTGCCCACTTGTATCAATGTTTTCTTTCGAATAAACAAATAAATAACTACTGACTAATATTAAGTAATCAGTTCCAATTATAATAACTTTTGAGTGAATGTCGTGTTATGCGTATTATTATCAGTGCTTCCAAGTTTTCCATAGTGATCTAGCTTTAATCGACTCATGACTTCAACTATTAAATTATATGTATTAATTGTGAAATATATCTAAGCATTTACATAAACTGATAACGTCCAAATTGTTCATCGTAATCGCATCTTACTAATACTTGCAAGTTACATCCAATTCTAGAGTATTCGTTGGACATTTATCTTACTGTAACAGTTTCCATTTTCGATCCCCTTCATTGCTATTTTGGAGTTTCCACCCAAATACTAGCTGTTACAGCTTTTCATATGTTGTAGTAAATAACTTTCATATATATATATATATATATATATATATATATATATATATATATATATATATATATATATATATATATATATATATATATATAATATCCATTTCAGTAAGCATTCTTCTTTAATAGTATATGAACACAGATGTCGTAAGCACCTAATGAATTGAGGTTTATAATGTATTTCATGTATCTTAGCAACATTAGTGCCTTATTTGCAGGTTTTACTTAATCATGTAGTTAGTTTCCATAAGATTGAACATAATGTTTAGAATATATCTTAGAACTTTTGATGAGATTAGGAACAAATTAGAGGAAACATTATAGTCAACAGAAAAGGGACAAAAGAAATGATTTTGATGAAAAAACGTGACGTGTGGGCGAGAACGATAATGATCGGTTGGCTGCTTAGTCAGACATGTAGACAGTCTGGCAGGTGTCAGATGAGTTATATACTCCCCTATCCTTATAATTATTAATATTGATTGTTCATTGTTGTTGGATTGTGCCGGGTTTTGGTGTGGAAATATATTGAGCAAATAAATTATGAGACTTTTTAAAAACTTACTATTCAAAATATCGCCATTTCGTAAAGGTCGCATATCTGGTATTCCATGACAGATCACTTCGTTAACCGATCTGAAATATTGATAGTAAAAGTAAAACAAAATAACAGCTGTTGTAGGTATGTATGAATATATATGTGAATGTTGAAGATTTTCATACGAAGGAAGCAAAAATCTCGGATACCCGATGAATAGTTACACAAAAAAAGTATTTAAGCTGAAAGGATACTGAAGTGACCAAGCTAGTATAATTATCGTACCACTTGGCACTCGTCAGAGGCCTGACGAATTTGATCTCGAGTCACCCAGATTCAAAATTAGAGACATTGACACAGATCAATTCAAGCCGCCACTGACCTGCTGTAGGGTGACACGAGGTCGAAATACGCCAAAGAGCATCATTCGCTTCAGGATTACAGGTAAATCTTGTTCACAAGTGCTAAATAGCACGAAACTTAGGTTCAGGGTTTCTCGTCGACTACCACCCTATCTATCAAAATAGTGCGTGCGATGTTGAGTCACTAGCGGCCACATTACAACTTCATCGATAAAATATGATCAACACTAAGAACTTGACATATATGACAGTGGTCACTGCTCGATGATCAATCAATTTTAAAAGTATCATCATCATTAGAATTGATAAAACTGGTTGAAATCCTCTTTGAATGAATACACGTTTGAACAGACACTTAAGAAATAATGATACTATTCTATCTAGTGGAAATAATACAAGTATCGTAAACCATGTATTCACTACGTAGAATGCTAAGAATTCAAGAATGAGTGATTTCAAAACACCTACACTATAAAACACAATAATAAGCTGAATAACACTGGTTCATTAAAGATTTTGGTTGTTATTCTTGGGGGTTTTGGAAGTTTTTTAGTTAGAACTGGTGATATAATCGAAATTGTTAATCCGAAACGTGAAATAATTTTTAAGCAGATAATATTACATCCTAAGGCTTGGTTTGATATTTGAAACATCTTATTCTATATGTTTATCTATTCAAAGTATCCAATATTCTTGAAAAATTAAAGCAAATGGGAAACTATGATTACAATAATTTTGCAGACTTACGTACAACATGACTTCGGAAAATTGAAATAGTTTAGTGGAGAAGGATAACATTCACGTTCAATGCATGCCTTAAAATGCAAGAACAGAATAATGAGCCAATACAGTCTTAAAAGTAACATTAGGATGATAAAGAACAGATGAGTTGTAACTAGCAGTCAAATCTAGGTTGGGTGTTTGATCAGCTGGATGTAGCTGTAACATTTCAATGGATAGTGCATTGGACGTTCAAAACGAGAGGTATTGGGTTCAAGTCCCAGTATGAACATCAACCCAATTTCAAGTACATTCAACTGACGGGACGAAAAGAGAATCATAGCCCTCAGGAACCAGCCAAAGTCTACCTATTCTATAAAACCTAAAATAATATAGCTACATAAAAACAATCCGTATGATATCCACATGTGCCGATAAAGACATGGCAAAATTTAATCCTCAATATCAATGATGGAATAATTCAATGTATATTAACATAAGTCGTCTTGACCTTCACCATACAAACTGGTTTTATTAGCTACACCATCATTAGTACTGACAGCAAACCGGATACAAGGATTTTCCCATTACTTTTAGTGTTCACAATAAAGAATGGGTGTAGGCACGAGCTCCGGGTAATCTTGCAAGTGCTTTGTATTTTGAAAGTATAAAATATAACTTATATGTACGATCACTAATGGTCAACTAATTAGGTGCGATTTGGACACATTATCATTGCACAGTTAGAAAATATCATCCACGAATTAGAGGTCAAAGTCTTTTTCCAGATAACAGATCCAGACCACCAACACTATAACGGCGCTTCCTTTACAGCCAGGAATAATATCGACAGAAAAGTTGGGCAGGAACCGCGGGATTACGTAACCCTCTTTAACCATACTACTATACAGGAACAATGGATGGAGGCGGTTATACGTCCTTACTCTACCTGAAGCGTTTGTTGTGTACAGAGCCTTCGAGATGTTAATAAACCTGCCGCGCACAGCCTTCTTCAACAGACAATTTTAAAGCGCAGCACTACTCAATTAATTGAGGGTGGCCCTGATATCAGGGAATACAACGTGTTGGTCAACAGAGGGATAGGAATTGAGGATGCGATCAATACATCCATGACCAAAAAAGAAATAAATCTGACCAAAGTGAACCTTTCACGGGTTCTGTGTAACCTGTGGAGTATGATGGAAGCCCATAGTTTGGAAGCAATTGAAAGTAAATATATGGCTCGGTAGTTTTCGTATATATTACGTAGGGCACTTTCAAAGATGAGAATGACAATCACTGCAATCCAAGATAGAACACGCTTTGTTTCCCGAATTCTCACAAACAAACCAATTGGTCTATTTGCCAAAAGTTTGCTACTACCATAAAAAAGAACTGAAGTAGGTATTCTGGGTCAGGTGACTTGTGAAGCTCTAGACTGCAATTCCTTACAGAAGTCGACCTCATTAGATAAATCAGTAGTCACAAGCCCAGAACAGTATGAACAACAATACTAGGGCAACAGGTTGGTTAGACTGTCCCTTGAAGTGCTTTGCCAAGCATTCAAGACGTGTTTGAGGGTTACAATTGGTGTGCCAACATCGAATCGTTCCACAGACACTGGATGTTTTGCTGCCAGTAGCTCGAGAGAGATAAAAGAGCCTCACGCAGCCGCCAGATGCAGCCTCTGGTTCCAACTGATAAGTATGCCCAGACAATCAGAGTTCCTAGTCCTTACTCAATATTCGTGGAATTTCCTGACCGGTATATCTCAAGAAATCTACAGAAACTTAATTTCTTGCTTTGATGGGGCCTTCTAACTTAATAGTGAATTACAACTTTCATTTTGGATCCAGTCAATGAGTGATACCTCTCTATACGAGTTGAATGGAACAACAGTGTTTGCAAAGCCGGATGCTCATGTTGTAGGGTTCTCGGATAACTAGACATGGAATAAATTTCTTGAATCGATAGTTGGAGTGAATCTATAGTAATCTGCTAAGATCTTGCTTACGGGTCTTAGATATACAGCACACACAGGTAATAAAGACTATTATGAAGACAAATAAACCTATCTATTGGTGGACATCCCGAAAAGATTATTTTGCAACCGTTAAAAACAACTGTGCATAAACCTTGATGCAAATAGGGTCTAAAGTAACATTTGGGGGTTAGAGAAAGAGAAATATATCTGAAATGCTTGGATTAATGCCCATGGAGATTACAAGACTGCATTTTTTATGGTCATCATCGAACAGAACTAAGTTATCTGCATATTCTAAGTCAACAAGTAAATCTCCTGGTTAGAGAACGACTTCTGAGTCAAACAACGGAGGTATTATCTTCAAAAGGATGTCTGTGACAAAATTAAACGAAAATGAAAAGGGTAGAAACCTCACAAGTGATGGTTCACCAAGAGTACAAAATTATAATTAGCTTCTTACCTCATGTACAACTCGATCGATTTCATCAGTCGTTACACCAACTTTGACTGCTTTTACTGCTTCCTCTAAAACTTCACGGGCAAGCTTGAAAATATAAATATAAGACGTCAACTGAGGGAACCATTAATTTGTATAAATTGAGTAAAAAAGAATATTCAGAACTAATTTCAAACTGTGGATAAATTTTTCTGAAACGCAAGTGTAGATCACACTTTATTATTGTCGAGAACGCAAGAGTACTGCAACGAGATATGATCATCTGATAACTACCTAAAAACTGCTAATTGAACATCGAGAGATAAGATGTACAATTCTCAACGTATTGTTTGATATACATATATTAATTGTTTACTGTTTCGTCAGATGAAAAATTGAAATGTGATACATGTGTTAGTCAAATATTACCTCAGTGGATAGTAGAACATCAAGTACTAAGCAACAACTGGTAACTGTAATTTATATTCAACGACCACATATATTTTCATTAGGTATCTAAATTACGGTGAATGAAAGAATTATGTAATGTCTATATTTACAACATATATAAAACCATTCTGACACCATTTATTTTAACAAAGACTAATTTTGGTCTGTAAAATCAGACAAAACGTCTAGCTGATTATTTTTAATTTTTGGATACTTCATATAGACATTTAGAAACCAGACCATGAATTATTACGAAGTGTAATCTGTTAAACAAACAATGTTTCGCACCCTAAGCATATACCGATTTACGAGTTTTCATAAAAATGAAAATAGTATAAATATAGTAGACTAATGACAACAGTGGAAAATATGGCATAAATTTACATTTGTATACTACCAAGTAAAATGAATGATAATTGGTCGATTCCCAGTACGCTTGTAGCAAGAATTTTTAGAACACGTTGGGACTAATAAAGAACAGTGAGATGATACTGTGTTGATGAATATAATAGTCTGTGAGGTTCAGTGATTAGGGGGTTTGAACTTTAACTATTATGCCAGAGGTTTCATTAGCCCGGTACATTGGCTTCAGTTTAGACAGTCGGAGAGTATTACTGACTCACGAAGTGTGTCTTAAGATCGACCACACGAACCCGCACTTGAATAGGTTGGCTTTTTATGAATAACTGAGAAAAGTGACCGGTAATATCATAAAAATACAAGAACAAGCAAAACTACATTCTCAAAATAGAAATCTAACAATTGACAAGTTCTTAGTAAAAGTGGAGCTAAACTTTTCGTAGTATCAAAAAGTTAGTTGAGACACATACATTGTATTAGGCAACTCAGCACCGGAAGTTTACTGGGATATATTCCCGTTTTAAATAGCAAATTACCTTTCCTGTAACACGCATGCATTCAATTTCATCGTCGTCCAAAGCAACAATACTACGGGAACTTTTCGCTTGGCGTTCTGAAATGGGAATCCCTACATGATTAAGATAAAGGTAAACAAATAGTCTTCAAATACCTGTGATGGCGTAGTCTGGGAATTCAATGGAACTCTTCACTTCTCGTTTAGGTGTCTAAAAGCATTGTGTATAGAAGTAAACAAGATTACTTTTTTAGCAGGTCGTAATTGACCTGTAAATTTATATCCGATGAAGCGATCATCTTCACACGTATCTTCTGTAATGAGGTAAGCTTTGAATTATTGTTTACTGACCGGTACCGACAACGTGTATTGCTTTATGTGTTTTCCAAAACTGTTTGAAACATTCCTCGAAATCAACACATGAAAATATTGTTATTTCTTGACAAATACTTGTGAACAGAAGAACGACGTTTCAATCCCCAAATCACGACACACAGGGCACTTTAGAGTAGACGGTTTGCCACATGATGGAGTTATACAAATGTTTTCCATTTTATTTGTACTATACACTAGTTCGATGTGATACTGAAAATATTAAAATACATGGTACTATTAATTTATAAACAAAAGCGCTGTGAGCATACAACGTTACACCATAAATGAAATGATATTTTTTACTGGGTTTGGGTGCCCCCAAATGCCCTGGTACGGCCGAGAGTGGGGAGAGTCCGCTCTCCCTCAAGAAATGCTCTCACATGACCACGCGTATATAGCCTCTACCAGGGAAGTCCTATTCACTGCCTTCTCGTGGCGGGCGTGTTGTTTACGAAAATGAGACGACGAAAAGCGAGTGTTCGGCGCTTTAACCGGATCCCAAACCAATGGTGCACATGGGCTCCAGTATCCTGCGAGAACAAATGGCGTATGAACCAATCGTTGGTCACCGGCTACCATGGGACTGCATCTCCTCACGATGCTCCACTGCCTTGTGGGTCAGACGTTCAGGTCGAAAGGCTCGGGGTGTGGCCCCCTAAGAAAACCACCTGCTTCGGTTTGGGCACCCGGTCAGTATCACAGCCCTCACACAAATCAATTGAGATTTGTGTGGCGCATATGTACTTGGTGCCTCCTTGTATCTATACCTGTGTTAAATAATAATAAAGCTGGGTTTGGGTGTGAAAAATACTAGGTTTGTTGACTGTATGTGGAGTCTTTCTCCAACTTGATGACATGAATAATCATGTGATTGTTATCTACCAAATAACTGGTAAAAAGTATTTGCAACTCTCTCGATTATCAACCTAGTTTTGCCAAACAAATAATGACACAATTACGTTAATGACTAGATAGAATCTAAGATAAAATTGGAGAATAACTCTGCCTAGGCAACTACATAGAAGCCTTTATTCCCATATGAGTTTATTTAGCATGCCCGTAGATTTAGTTTTACAGACTCGGGATACAGACACAAAGTACTTAATAGACATTTCTCACCTGTGAAACAATACAGAGCCAACTACGGCTCAGTATACTCGCTTTTTAATAAGTAGAGGGGCATTTCAATAGTGTCAGATAGTGTACTCTAGTCTCTTGGTTTAACCGGACTATATTGTCTGGATTCCCCATGTAGTACTAATAATTATTAGAAGACAAATTTTTGAACAAAGAAAATGATATACGTATGGTAAAACTGACTTAAATGTAGGGGAAAGAGATCCTTGGTATATATATATATATATATATATATATATATATATATATATATATATGTATATATATATATATATATATATATTGTTGGTGGGATTTTAGATATTAACTTGCCAAATTCTTTCAAGTAGGTGTCAAACGGTTGTGAGAAGTGGAATACCAAAAACTCTCCATTAAGTGGATCGACATTTTGCTTACCGAGGTCCGTGCAAACATGATATTACCTAGTCCTTATGAGTACAATTATTGATCAGTTTTGTTTTACCTTTAGTTTTACCCACACGTTTGTCGTACATACGTGCCTTTTTGCAGTTTCTGGAACGGATTAGTAACCATCATTGAATCTAAGCATTAATACTCCAAGAAGAGAGCAAATCACAAGGACAACTTCTGTTCTTTTAAACATTGTTTGAATAAAACGATAAGGGCCCAAAGACTAGTACAGCGACGTCTGCACAGATCCTACACTTGAAACTTACAGTCTATCAAAAACTTGAGTAGAGATAGTACTTTTCCATGAGTTTTAAGAAAAGGTGTCAAGGTACGAGTAGACAACTGATTATAGACAAATATATGATGCACTATAAAATGTTTGAACTTAAGGAGACAGAACTGAGTTTATTTGGAAGGGTATTATAATTTTTGAAGTGAAGAGGATGTGAAACCAGGAACTCTTTTCGAAATAGGATATGAGCATGTTAGAAACTTTAAAAAATGTACTGTTGACGTTTGCGAAATTGGTAGACAAGATACACTTTATGTAGAAATATCAAAGTAACTTAAATGGTTAGGTCTACATAACGTGCTTACGAACAATGAAGGTTCACGGTTAATGTCAACACATATCTACTACTTCCAAATCTCCGAACTTACGGTGCATCATGGGGTTTTCGTTAGGATCACAAAAACTTTTGTTTTCTCCAAACTAGCTGAAAATTCTTAGGTTACCCGGAAGTCTGAAAAACTTTTGCAGGAACAGCGTTAAAATATAAGGAGGGAAATCACACGGGATCTGTAGACAAGAGAATAATTAGGTTTTTAACAGCATCTTCCATAGAATGTCTTTAAAATTTTTGATGGAACCCCCCTTAAATTGGAGAAATTCGCTCTGAAGTTGAGAGGTCGAGTTTCTACGTACCATATGTTACGTAGTCAATAAGGTGTAAGCCTTCCCAAGAAACCGAAGAGGAAGCAAAGGCTAATAGGGGGAATGGGGAACGCGCGATAAGTGTCTTTGGCCTGCCGAGGGGATATTGGGCAAAATCCCCCCTTCTCTTCGCTTTATGTTTGAAATGTCGCCGAATTATTTAATTCTCGCTTAAGTATGCACTGAATTATCTACTTTTTGCCTAAATATAGTTCGATTAATCTACCATGCATCTAAATACACGAGGAATCAATGTTTCTCACCAAAAGACATCTGAACACACACGGCAACGCTTCAGGGTTATCGTCCACTGTTGGAGGTTGCTGAGCACTTGAAGGTCAAACACTAGTAAAATAATTGGTGCGTCACCTCGACAACCCGTAAAGTTAGGCAGTAGCGGTTAAATCAAGACGTCTTTAGATTTGAATTGAGTTTAGCCATACTTTGACTGATAACGTCCATCCTTTAAATAACGAAAACGATGCCGTCGTGATGATGCATGATATAAAAAGAATCTTCAATTATATTATTTTATCGTGACGATTTACAAGTTGGGATAATTTTGAGACCTGTTTAAACCCGACCCAAGCTCCCAACTTTAGGGAAATTTTGGGGAAATTCCCAGACTTTGAAGGAATTATGGGGAAAATCTCCAAATCATGCGTAGCGCATCATTCCAGATAGACATTTCATATGCATTCGATTATTAGACGTTTAAAGATTAAATTACAATGAATATTTGTTAATTTGTACACAATGAAGACTTTTGGTCACGAATAGTCTACCCACTTTCAGATCTTGTTTTAATACGCCTAACAAACACGAGACAATGAGTCGTCGTCTGTAAACTATTTTTCCAAAATTCGAACGCCATGTAGATGAGTTATTTGCACTGTCAAAAACTTCGATTACAGTAGTTGTTCAGTTTCACTTAAGTTAATTGTCTCTTTCAGAAAAATAATTTACAGCTTGATAAGATTGCTAAAAGGCGGGCTCAAGCCGCCAGAGACTTGAGGTTGCTGGGCTGTCTCAGATCAACTTATTACAGAAGGTTGCAGAAGTTAAGAGATGAATTCATAAAAAAGTATCAGTTAACCAGCAGTGTTGAAGAGGACGACAATTCAGTTGTCGTCACAGAAGTAGGTACCACGGAAGCTACAGAGCAGTGTAACAATATTGTCTTAGAAACAGCCATTACTTCATGTTGTTATGTCCAGTGTTGTGGCAGTACAGCCAATGGTAGTGTAGCTTTATTAATTAACAATGTATATGTGGTGTTATTTCAGAAATGTCTTCACCCAGTCATCTTTCAATGAAAGAACAGGTCGATAGAATTGTCATTGGCATGATGAAAGGTGGTGATATAACCGTGAAGAAGGCTGACGAAATTCTGGACCTCTTTCGCGTGCGCATTCCTGAACTCCTAACATCCGTCCGAAGTGTTCTACGTCGATGCAACAACGTAGAGCCTAAAATTCTGGGAACGGGAAATTACCACCATTTGGGATTGAAATCAAGTCTGCTGAGGATTTCCGAAACTCGGCTACGTAAAATCCGTTTTATAGAACTGAAGCTGCAGTTTAACTACGATGGTCTAAGCTTGTTTAAAAGCTCTAACCAACAGCTGTGGCCGATACTAGGTCGCATAGCGGGTCCATTAGTTTGTAATGTATTTATCGTTGGGATATATGGTGATGAAGTGAAACCATCTGCTTTCAACGACATGTCAGCAGCACTTATAACTGAGTTACAAGAGTTGCTGACGGTAGGTATTAGTGTAGATAAGTATCAGGTACATTTAACAGTTAAATTGGTTGCTGTTATTTGTGACGCTCCAGCTCGCAGTAACGTTCGGTATGTTGTTGGACACAACGGTACCGCTGGCTGTGACAAATGTCATGTTTTGGTGCTTCGGCCTCGTCCATCAGGAAGTGTTAATGAATGTTCATGAAAGTAATAAATTTTAAATTTTTAACGCCTCGGCATTGATTTACAGCATCAATTAGGAAAGTACATATTGGTTAATGATAAGGAGGAGAAACAAGTGATTTTCATTCCGAAAAAATAGATCCTGAACAACGAGCATTACATTTATCGGAATGATGTTACGGAGAAGGACATTATTGATGGTGTTGATTGTGATAGTCGATTCACGTTGAGAAAATGCACCGTACTGCATAGTTGTGGTAAGTTGTAACTACTTTCAATTCATTTTTTTAGATGACTACCATGTAGCCGAGGAAATGAAAATGTGTTTAACCTCAGCACTCGGTTACAATAAGAAACTTACAACAGATGACGAAACTCTGCCGTGTGAAGCAGAAAAGCCAAAGAGGTAAATTGTTGAGCTTACTAAATCACTTTAGTGTTAGGGCTGCAAAACGTAAACTTGGCGACTATCTATGCATTTCTGAAGAACTAGAGGTTGCTGAGGTTGAAGCTGGATTTGCCCCGGTCGAATTTCCAGTTGTCAACATTTTGACCGGAAGATTTTCGCCTATAGCGGAGCATGTACCTATTTAATCTATACTCATGAAGTAGTTCATCAAAAACAGATGTTTTATCACCAACCATTCCATGTACATCGATGGCAGTTGATAAACCGTAAGTTGCATTTACTATTTTCCTGATGACAAAAGGTTAGGCGACGATACTAATAAAATGTTGAGAATGCTGCTGAAGGCGGTAGGTGAAATCTCTAGGAAGATGGATAAATTGATAACTTCCAATGAACGCTTATCCATGGGTGTAACCGACAGGCGTACGGAGCCCACAGATACTGCAGCTATCGCTTTCCTATTAAAAACACAAGAGTGATTAGAAACTAAAAAGGATTTTTTATTTTTTTAGAACATACCGAATGATAGTTCAACTTCTGCGTAACCTGTAACAGTAACAAAGCAATAAAAAACATTGTATAAATGAATAGTTTGTAATTTTATTAACTATAGTAAACAGTTTAATGTTTCACAAATCAGTCTTCTAATGAAAGCGATAAATCGATTAACGTTAAGTTTCTTTGGCAAGGTGTAACTGACGAAAAATTGTGTAACGTCTCAGTAACAAATGTACGTATGTATTGTTTCTAGGTTTTCAGTGATGTCTGGAGATTTTTGTGGAAGTTTTGCGTTCAAACGGTTTTGGAGAAAAACCCCAACGTTTGGGGGAATTTTGGGGAAAACTTAATCACATGTCAAGACATGTGAAACGTCGATGACGTACCAACAGTATGACAATGCTGTTAATAATGCGGACAAATAACTTACAGTTACGTCTGATAAAGCCTGTGAAGCCAGCTGAAAGCAAGACGAATGATACAAAAGTTTTATCACTGTAAATATTGATCACAAAGTAATAATAAAAGTGTAATATGTATCATAACAAACATGTCAAGTTGCTTTAGTTCACCTTTTCTTTGGATCGCCATCCACCTTTATTAACTTCATCCGTTGCGTCAAGCAAGAAAGCCTGGCTTGCTGTACCCATGGCGTGTATTAAATCCTTTTCCAGACAGGTCGTACTTCGGAAATGAGAACGCAGAACACCTATCAATATGTTAATGCAATAGTGTGGACTTACTTTGAACCTTTGAGTAAAATTTGTACTTACTGATACCGAATTTACTTTTTGTTCCTTGAAAAGTGTAATTTTTTGCCAGTTCCGGCGAAAGCAAGTATGTTATGTCAGCATGTAACAAGAACAATGATGACCCAACTCTCAGATATGTCAGTACTTATGGACGTAAACGCAGTTCGTCAGAATCAGATGTTTATCTTCGGGATGTAGATGACGATAGTGATCAGCATTCTTCCGAAGAGCATAAAACTTCTAACTCATCACCACAACCTAGACAAAGAAGACGATGTTGTTTATTAACGTATACTTTATTTCGAGTGAATTTATTGCCAATGTCAATCTGGATTTTGTGTCCGTGCAGTAAATGATAACCTACAAATCACCTCTCTTAAAACCGCGCACAAACATCCTTTCACAGAAGGATATATTTCTCTAGATCCGCAAGACGACAGTTGACGTCAAGTAAACGATTATATTTAAGACCGTTTCTATTGAGTAATACACCAACTCGTAGCTTACGACATCTGGATTCTTCGAAGCTTCACAAACAGCTTGCCAAGAACGATATCGTCAAAATGCGATCTTAATTGTACCAAGGCTGTTAAATTCACGTACTGATTAATTGAGTTTAGACACTAAAATAATTGCTAGTCTGCGATGCAAATATGGAAGGAGTGTTGTAGCAGTACCTTGTAGCGGTAAATAAATCCCCAAAGTAAATAGCTCTGTAAGTTTTCGACATTGGATGCTGACCACATTAGTTTTAATGGACTCACCTAGCTGAAGGCTCTCGATCATGCATCCTCACCAGATCACAAGTGGGAGCGTCGTGCTCAACATCTAATGCAATCACTAGCCAGATTAGATCAGAAGATCCTCGATATGTTGATAGCCTGTCGAATATATCTTCAAACCTCCTCGCTTCTGTCTTTTGACTTCACTTGGTGGGTACGATTCGTATTAGAAGGTGTTACTGGTTAAAGCGTTGTCAAACTCCGAATACCTGTGGCATCTTCAACTTGATTGATGAATTTTCGAAGATATCGCGATAGCATGTACCTCAAAATGGGAAAATCCTTTTTCACTTAATTATGAAAACGGAAAAAAGTTTTCAAATTTATTTATAATTATTTTCGATTTTTGGCTTTGCACAAAGCAGAAATAAAAAGTGGCGTAAAATAGTGTCGCGATACCACAGTGTCGTCGCCCACACAAACAAACACGGCACCACCGGGACAGCGGTTATCGTTCTTGGACTACTTTTAGATAATCAACCAGGATTAAGTATTCGACGATTTGTGTCTAGCCTGAAAGTAATTAAGGTACCAGAGGAGGGTGAAGAGTAGAGTGGATGAAGAAAGCTGAAGAGACGATTCGACGATGCATCAAGCGTGCATAACATACTTAAGAAAATTAATCGGCAGGAATTACTGATAACAAAAACACTAGATGAAGATGATTTGATAGTTGAAACTGGGAACTGATTGAATAAGGTCCTAACGTGGTACATTAAGCATTGATATCTTATGAATTAATGAAGGCACTACGTCAAACAAACGTGTAATAAGACCAGTGTTGCGAATGAAATGATTATATGTGTTTTGTAACATATATCCGGATACGGTACTGAATAAATACTTTTTGGCCTCATGGTTTGGTTCGCCCGGTATGTACCATACCTGATAAGGTCTGGATTTGATCACTAGCTTGTGATGGTAACGTAACGTAGTATAAAAAAGGATATGTTGTGATGATGTGTTTATGCAGGGTATTCATGTATGAAC